TTCTGTATTGTCAGTTGCAGTATTTCCTTTTTCATCTCTGAGTTTAGTTGTTTAGATATTCTCTTTGTTAGTCTGTGGAGTTAGTCTGTTTTGTTTGTCTTTTAAAGAATCAGCTTTGTTTCCTTGAGCTATTTTCCTTCACCTATTTCTCCCAATTTCTTCCATTTTTTTCCCATTTCATTTATTTCTGCTCTTTATTCTTTCTTTTTTTGTTTGTTTCTTTTTTCTGGTATTTGGAATTTGGTTAATCTTGGTTTTCTAGTTCCTTGAGTTTTGCAGTAAGTTGTTTCTTTTAAGATCTTTCTGCTTTTTGATGTGGGCTTTGAATGCTATAAATTTAACTTTGGTACTGTTTTTGCTGCATTCTGTTACTTTGTGTTTTTTCATGTGTTTCATGTGTCTTTTTCAATCTACTGATTCTTCAACTGCAAGTTGTTTAATTTCCATGTATTTGTGCAGTTAGCTAAGCTTTTATTTTTATTGGTTTGTAATATGTATTGTGATCAAGAAAGGTAGCTTGGTGTGATTTGAATTATAAACGTCCTCTTAGACTTGTTTTGTGGCCTATTATGTAATCTCTCTTGGAGACTGTCTTATGGGCTGTTGAGAAAAATGTGTTTTCTGCAGCTATTCAGTAGAGTATTCTGCAGATGGCTGTTGTGTCCACTTGTTACAAGCTGCCTGGTTATAGATGGGTGCATACGTTATGCAGGTATCCTTAAAACGGCCTGTGGCAGTACAGTCCCTTTCTGTTCCATGTCTGAAGGAGAGTGGTGAAGGAAACAGTTCATAGGGGGCAGAATTTTAGGCAGATGTACATTTTGCTTGGAAGAAAAAGTGATGGAATGTGCAGCTATATACCACCAGTTCATGGGCTCCAGCCAGGGCAGTCATGGACCAGGAACTTGATTTGAAAATTGATGACAAAGACATGGGTATGAGATGGTTGGAAATGTATGAATAGACTTCTCTGAATAGGCAGAGAACAAAAGAGATTTATGTCCCGTATAAGTGTTCACCAGAAGGTGACCTCAACAGAAGAGACCTTCAGTAATCAAATGGACTGTATGCTGTTTTGTGGAGTAAACTGTTTCTCCAGGGGGAAAATACTGTTCCCATCATGGTGGCCAGAAAGCAGAGAGAGAAGGGAGGAATCAGGGAGGACAATACACTCTTCTAGGTCGTGCTTACAGTGATTTGTCTGTCCTGATCTGGTTCTGCCTCCTAACAACACATGCAGCTTAGAGCTCTTCCAAGGATTAATCCATTGATGGGTGTAGCTCCCCATGACTCAGTTACCTTCCAGAAGCCCCAACTCCAGTGCTTAAATTTTGTGGACATTCAGTGTCTAAGCCATTAGTATTCTACTCCTAACCCCGCAAAGCCTCATGTGCATGCCAGCATGCGTTTAGTTCATCTCTAGCAGACACCAAAGTTTTAACAGTGTCAGCATTGCTGAAAAGCCCAAGTTCAAAGTCTCTTCTGAGCCTCAAGGCATTCTTAGCTGTGAGCCCCTGAAAAATGCAAAAGAAAGCTTAATTCTTCCAATATAAAATGTCACACAGTAAGCTTTCTTGTTTGAAAAGGGGCAAATGGAACAGAAAGAAATTGAACCAAACCAAGATTGAAACCCAAAGGAACAGATGTTAAATCCAGTAGCTTCATGTGTAGTATTAGGGCACATTGTAGCAAGATATAAGTCCAGAGGGCTTGAATGACCCCACCCCAGTGGCACTGCGGTTCACAGCCCTTGTGGCCTCTCTTGTATAGAAGAGCTTGTGGCTTTCCTCAGCAGATTTCCCACATTTTTGACATTTCCAGTTTCCTGGGGTCTGCACTCCCTTTTTGGTTTCATTCTGACAGCTTCATGCACTGCCCTCTTAATGGACATACTGCCTGGCCTCCAACGCTTTCTTCTGAAATCTTGGTGGAAGCTTCCCTGTGTGGAATCTGGAATCTGGGTGGAAACCCCTAATTCCACAGTTCTTGCATTCTGCTTGCTTGTAAAAGCAGCATCACATTGCAGGTACCATGGCCCCTCACTGTTGTCCTTCCTCCCCCTGTAGCGAGGCGCTCTTTTAATCATGGCTACAGCAGCTTCTGAAAATGGCTCCAAACACTGAGATACGAATTCTTCATTGTATTAATCCACTGATGAGTAAAGCCCCACTGTCACCTCACCCCCTTCTAACAGCCCCACCTGAGTACATGAGAGTTTGGGGGACATTTCAGATACAAACCATAATAGACATATTTGTTTGTTCTGGCCAGTCAGAGTTACTGGAATGGAACTGGCCAGTCAGGCATGGACAGAAAGGAAGGACAGACCTTCCACAATCCCACAGGACTCCTGTCTCAGGCCTGCAGAGCTGCAGAGGCTTGTCTAATCTGATCCATGAAGCTCAGATACTTCTCCCTAGAGCCCTGTTGACCTGTAAACTGCTGAAGATTCTTAGGAAGGATGCTGGGAAACTGTCATGGGACAGATGCTGAGATCATCCAGGTGGCTGGTTCAAACTAATCTGAACTGGCTGGGTGAGACTGAGTCTTCCCCAGAGTCAGCTCCAGATTGTGTACACGTGATGTACACAGCTGGTGAGGCTTATGTTTTCTGTAATACAGGTTGGGGGCTGGGCCATCATCTAAGACTCCAGCATGTCCTGTTCCTTCTCAGAGCCCTCTTCGAACATTTCATTGTCTCTTCCAATTGTGCAGTGTCCATGTGATAAGTCATCAGAACATAATCTATCTTGGTACATGAGGAGGTCCATGTATGGTGAGAGGTGTGTTCCCCAGGGACTCCAGTGTCCTTTCTCTCTCTCCTTCCCTCTCCTCCTCTCCCCTCTTCCCACCCTCCCCTCTCTCTTGTCTTTCAGAGATATATGAGATAGCCTCTCAAATTTAGGATCCTGTTCATTCAGCTTAGCTTCTGGGGCTGACAGCAAATTCCTTAAAACAAAGTTTCCTGTTACTTTAATTATAACCCCCCCATGTAATATATGGCATTTTTGAAAGATTTTATTTTGGCCAATAATTCACATGGGAGATACAGGGATAATAATCACCTTTCATTCTGCCTTAAAACATCTTCATGCCCCTACTGCTTTTCTCCTCCCTATACATAGCTTGTGAAATGTCTTGAATTAAAAAGCATGTCGTTAAACATTATACAGTCTTTTCCTAGTTCTAGATTTCATATCATCCTGGTGCTGATCCAAGGTACCCACAGGGCCATTTCTCTTCAACTGTCTGATGAATGTCAGCCTCTAGTCAGCCCTTTCAGCATGAAGTGTGGGGTGAAGCCTGTCAGGGAAGCAGCTGATTGTTCTGTTGCTGAGAAGAATTTCCTGTTATCTCTGTCTTCATTTAATTACTTATTCCTTGGTACCTTAACATTTACAGTTCTGAACCCCAGTTTCATTGTCTGTAGACATAATGGTAGTAAGCCAGTTGAATAGTAGGCTTCAGGAAACATACAGAAATTTTTCCTCCCTTCAGATTCTCTCATGATCTGTGAATGGAGAAAATCATCCCAAAGGCTAAGGAATATACATTCCCACAAATGGACACAAGAACCCGTGTTATAGTTCAGATCTAGAATGTCCCTCAAAGGTCTCAGGTCTTCAAAGATGGTTCGAAGGTGACTGAATCATGGTGCATTATGTTCATCAGTGACTCAATCATTGATGAATCCGTAGATAAATTATGGTTAGGTGAAGCCTGGTCGAAAGAGATGGTTCCCTGGAGCATGACCTGGAAGGGTGTGCCTCCCGTCTTGGAACCTCCTTCCTCTCGCTGCTTCCTAGCCACCACGATGTGAGCAGCTTGCCTCCAATATACCCTTCCAGGTCATGCCCCGTCCACCTTGCCCTTCCCTCCTTCGAGCCATTCACCTAGGGACTAAATCCTCTAAAAACTGAGCTAATGTAAACCTCTTCTTTAAGCTGTGGATGTTGGTGTTTTGTTTGAGCAATGTAAAGGTGACTAAGACAGAATTTGGTTAACAGAGAAGTGGAGTTATTAGTGTATACCTGACCATATGATTTAGAAACCCTTGGAACCTGCTTGCAAGAAGAGTTTGGAAAGATCTGGAGATGGGAGCTAGAGAAGCATTAGCATATCGTAAGCTGAGCTTGGTGGGAGATTCTAGTTTGAGTTTAAAAGAACAAAATGCTCATAGATACGTACATAGTAAAGTCCGGGATCAGGAGGTTTCATTTAGGAACAAGAATTCCATTGAGAGTTGCACTAGAGACCATGTGTGTTTTATTCTTGTAGAGTTTGCCTAAAAAATAAATTACTGGTTTCGGACATTTTGGGGGGGGGGGAGTTATGCATTGAGGTATGAAATTATTAGAGTTGCATTTATGATATACACTTTACATGTTCATAACAGATTGTTGCTTTACTTGAGATTATATTGAAATGTGTAAGTTCCTTAAAATTCTCTAAATGAAATATATGTGAATATTTCCATAATTTTCTTCCTTTTGACTGTTCAAAATCGTGTCACTTTGGACCATTGACATTGGCATCACTAATGAATTTGCTAGATGTACAGAAATTCAGGCCTCATCATGAAACTACTGAATCAGAATATGTGTTTTAATAGGATCTTCAAACCTGAGCCGTACACTTCAAACTCACCATGAATCAGCATGACCTTTCTCACCTGAAAAATATACACACATTGTATAATATAAATATAGCACTAAAAACTATTTTTGTTTTGATGCATAGACTTTCCATTTTATGTTTAATAATAGTGTACTATTACAGATTTTGTTGATCTTATTACATGACCTTTCTTCAGAATTGTTTAATACATCAGATTATTACTGTGCTAAAAAGTGTTTTATTTTAAATAGCTAAATGTCACTCATCTATGTCAGGGCCAATTTTTCTCTCATTTTGTATTGGTTCAAATTAAAAACTTAGTCAGTGTCCACACAGTTAATATGACATTTATTTACTTATTTATCTATCTGTCTATCTTTTAGGAACTGTTGACATTCAGGGATGTGGCCATTGATTTCTCCCTGGAGGAGTGGGAAGACCTGGACTCTGCTCAGCAGAATTTGTATAGGGATGTGATGTTGGAGACATATGGAAACCTGGTCTCCCTCGGTGAGGATAACTTTCCTACAGAATTTCTTCTTCACTATTAACAATTAATTTGCTTCCCTTTTTAAAATACCTCTTAGATACTTTGGCTTTGCAAGAATGAGTTTGATTCCTGCTTGCCTGTAAAATAAAAATAGAAGTTTTTTCATAGACTTTCCTATTATTGTTGTCCTTTGGTTCCTTTGTTTTGTTTTGTTTTGTTTTGTTTTGTTTTGTTTTGTTTTGTTTTGTTTTGAGGTGGTTTGGGTTTTAAACCATGGTTGTAGCTCAAGCTAGCTTGAATATACTACGTACCCCTAGATTGGCTCGAATGCACAGGGATCCTCCTGTGTAACCCTCCTGAGTGCTGGATTATAGGCATGTACCACCAAGCCCTGATTGAAGTGTCATGTATCCTTCACGCATAGATTTGTGGTAGTATTACAGTTCAGTGGTATCAAATATTACTGCTATATCTCAAAGCCAATTTCACACTTTTATTTTTGAGTTAGTAATAGTTAAAAGTAGAACTCAGGATCCACAAATTGAAACTGCATTCCACATACTCTACTGTATCTATATGGATATGATATCTAGAGAGACAATGAATGTTTATTATGTCTTCTCTTTTATATTGAAAACAAACTGGGAGAGAAAAGTCAGTAGTTGCGGAAAAAATTCAAAGCAGGTATCATTTATCATTTCCTATTAAACAGGACTTGCTGACTCTAAGCCATACATGATCACCTGTCTGGAGCAAAGCAAAGAGCCCTGGAATGTGAAGAGACAAGAAACAGTAGTGATGCACCCAGGTAAGTGAGAATGGATAAAGCAGAGGATACAGGTGAGACTCCCAAAGACCAAAGGGAAGTTAGGCTTTAAAATGTGGATTCAGAACCTCTGTTCCAATGGTTTTCAGAAGTAAAAGTTTATTCCTCTTGCTATCACAGGAAGCTATGTTTGGATCTATGTTCATAATGCTGTTAAATCTAAAGAGAAGTCTCCTCTTTCATTTATCTACTGTTTTTTTTTTTCCTCCTATGAGGTACATTTTCACAGACTTTGATAAACTGTCCATTCCTGTTTGGAATTGGTTCATTTAAGTTCCCTTGTATTTTTATTTCATCTTTAAACTTGCTGACAGCTGTAAGTCCATCTTCTGTCTGTTTATATCCATTCCAAGCTTTGCTAAGTACCTTATTGGATTATTTGTTTGTTAGATTATCTTGTATAGGGGCTGGGGGTTTAGCTCAGCGGCATAAGCACCTGCCTTGCAAGCAGGCAGTCGTGAGTTCGATCCCCGGTACCGATAAAAACGAAAAAGACAAAAAAAAAAAAAAAAAAAAAAAAGATTATCTTGTATAATTCAGATGTAGGGATTTTTATTTCCTCCCATTGGTGCCCCTTGCATTTGCTTTGAGGGAGTTGGAATTTGGGGAAGCATTTTGTTGCCATCTTTCCCCATCTTTTTTCTGAGAGTTGAGAATTATAGTGGAAGATCATCTCTTTAGTTGGAAGTCTGCTTTCCTGTGCCATGGTCTTGGCTCTGTTTGCCTTTCAGTGTTTCTCTACCAGCCTTAGTTACTTTTCTCATTGCTGAGACAAAATACCCCACACTCGAAGTTAGAGGGAGAAAAGTTTATTTAGCTCACGGTTTGTAGAGGTTTTAGTCTGCTAGCTCCAAGGCAGGGCAACATGGCAGAGGGGCAACCATTCATGGCAGACAACAAAAACAAGAGCAAAAGGAGAGGAGCAAGCCTCTTTTATTCCCTTACATTGTATGCACAGTACCCTCCCTAGAACAGGTATTGGATTTCCACCCCTAATCCCCAGCACTAGACAACAAACCAATCACAAGCTCTAGATTCAGCCACCTCCAAAAAGCCCCCCTCCCATAACTGCATGAAGCTTTGGGGAGACCAAACAAATCATAACACTACCTTTTCACCATACTCACTAAGATCAGACCTAGTTGCGGTTTTTCATGGAAGTAATTCTTACTGATTATGTAAATCAGATTTAACTATACATCAATTATGTACTACATTAAAACTTGTTTTAACAATTTTACCCTATACAGTACCATTAACCCTTACAGTCTGTACTGTACTGCTACAAATAGATTGGGATATAAAGGCAAGGGGGAAAAAAACAAGGAAAAAGTCAGGTCAAGTCAGTAAGAAGTAAGAGAGAGGAAAAATACCAGTGCGTGAAAAGCAGACAGGAAATCAGACACCTTTGTAATTATTTTAAAGCTAGGGCTATTTTGGGGAGGTTTTGAGAGAATGTGGGAGCAGAAAGGTTATAGAGAAAAAGTATAATTAGAGTTTAATAATAGCTGTGAGATTCTTAGAACCTGTTAAGTTTTATATAGCTTACATTTAGATGCTCAATGCATAATTTTGGTAAAGCTTGACCTATAATAATGCTTATGTTAATTAGCTAGATTTAGTCGTTCCATCACCTATATACTTCAAAATCTCATGATGAACATGATAATACAAATGATTTTTTTTTTTTTTTTTTTTTTGTCTTTTTTGAGACAGGGTCTCGCTCTGCAGTTCAGGCTGGCCTTGAGCTCAGTCTGTAGCCCAGGCTGGTCTTGAACTTGCAGTGATCCTCCTGCCTCAGCCTCCCAAGTGTTGGGATTACAGGTGTGAGCCACCATGCCCAGCAATAATACATATGATTTAAATAATTAAATAGCAATTTTTAAATTTTTAAAAATAGAAAAATCATTTTTCAGTCTCTCTGGTGGTATGATCCAGGAAATAGTGACACTAGTCAGCTGTGCTAGAGATTGTTGAGACTTCTGAGACCTATTTTCTTCATTTATTTTCTCTAGACTTGCATTTGGGTTTTTTCAGTTAAAAAGATCTTTGCACTTCATTTTTTTCCTACTGCTGTTGACTGTGATCCTACTGTCTTGCTAATGTAATAATCATGTCTTATTTCAGCTGGCCCGAACTTTGAGTTCATCACTGTAACTTCCTGAACTGCCTAAACAGAAAGCTATTTTCAGACAGCTCCCAGAAAAACCAATTATGTCTCTATTTTACACTCTGTTTTCATTCTTGAGCAGGAAGAAAATGGTTTTTCATAATTACACAGTGGTGTACTGGGAGAAGAGCTCTGCTCTTTAAAAGCAAACTTTCCCAGTAACCTTCTTTTCCTCTGTTGTATGACTCCTTTGCGTTATGATCACTTGGTATGCTGAGAATACTGAACTGCTATTTGGAGTTTTCACAGAGGTGATTTGGTCAGTATGTTATTGTTAGGTTCATATGTCTGTGGGGGGAAATAGGGCCCTGAAAACAGACTGTATGTTTAGTGTTCTGCTGTTCTACTGATACCGTCAGCTTGATATATGTCTATAATCAGTACTGAGCATGAACCCTCCGTCCTTATTCTGAGCTATGTCCCATGCCCTCCATCTTTTCTGAGACACTCGCAACAATTTGTGGATTGGGCTCAAACTTGAAGTCCTTCTGCCTGAGTATCCCCAGGTGGTGGAATTATACAAATATGCCACCATGCCCAACATTGGTATGCTTTTAAAAAAAACAGATTTATAAACTGTATGTACCTGAGTCTCATCTGTAGCATAATTTGTTACTCTGATTTCTTTCAGCTGTGTCTTCTCACTTTGCCCAAGATGTTTCATCAGAAAAGGGCACAAAACAGTCACTCCAAACTGTGACAAAAGGAAGATACAGTATTTGTGGCCTTGACAACTTACACTTAAAAAAAGAATGGGAGCATGTGGATGACCATAAAGGTCAGGATGCATGTTATAATGGATGGAACAAATTTGTGACAGCTAAAGAAAGCAAAGACCTCACTGCCAACAGAGATCAACAACATACAGTATTTCCTAAAACACCTACGTTTATGCCTGCTGCTTTAAAAGATCCATGTGTTTTTGTTAGTAAACATTCACATCAAATTTTGAAACATGCCTTTTCCCTCAAAGGAAATTTGGGAAATCTAAAAATGAGACCAGTCCATGCCTCAGTTGATCACTTGAAAAATTTGAAATGTAGGATTGGATTAAATTTTCAGGCATTGGTTTTAGTAAATAATAGATTTAAAAATGAAGAGCAAAACCCTAAATTTAATCAGTTTAGTTCATTTATGAAAAGTTTGTTACTCTACAATCAACAAAAAGGTCTTCCCTATACCAAGTTATATAATTTTCACAAGTTTGGAAAGTTACTTACCCATCCATTATTGCATAGTCAAAACCCAGATATAGATATCTATAAATGTATGGAATGTGGCAAAGTTTTCAAATGTTCTTCAAACCTTACTCTACATAAGAGAATTCACAGTGGAGAGAATCCTTACAAATGCAGAGAATGTGGCAATGCCTTTAATAATCGCTCCGATCTTACCCAACATCGGATAAGTCATAATGGAGAAAAGCCATTCAAATGTGAAGAATGTGGCAAAGCCTTTAAGTGTTGTTCACATCTTACTCGACATCAAAAAATTCATACCGGAGAAAAGCCATACAAATGTGAAGAATGTGGCAAAGCCTTTAATTGTTGTTCACACCTTACTCGACATCTGAGAATTCATACTGGGGAGAAACCCTACAATTGTGAAGAATGTGGCAAAGCCTTTAGACATGGCTCAAATCTTACTCAACATCAGAGAATTCATACTGGTGAGAAGCCGTACAAATGTAAAGAGTGTGGAAGAACCTTTACCCATTGCTCAACCCTCAATCAACACCAGAGAATTCATACTAGAGAGAACACTTATATATGTGAAGAATGTGGCAGAGCCTTTAATACTTTCTCAAGCCTTTCCATACATCATAGAATTCATACTGGAGAAAAACCTTACAAGTGCCAGGATTGTGGCAAAGCCTTTAACTTTCGTTCTGATCTTAATAGACATCAGAGAAATCATAATCGAGAGAAAGTATACAAATGTAAAGACTATGGCAAAACCTTCAATAGCTGTCCAAATCTTACACAGCATCAGAGAATGCAATTGGGTGAGAAACCCTACAAATGTAAAGAGTGTAGCAAAGTTTTTAAATATTTTTCACACCTTACTAGGCACCAGAGAGTCCATAGTGGGGAGAAACCATACAAATGTAAAGAATGTGGCAAAGCATTTAATGAAAAGTCAAAACTTTTTCAACACCAGAGAATTCACACAGGAGAGAACCCTTACAAATGTATGCATTGTGGCAAAGGCTTTAATAATTGTTCAAGCCTTACTCAACACCAGAGAATTCATACTGGAGAGAAGCCCTACAAATGTAAAGAGTGTAGCAAAGCTTTTAACAGTTGTTCTCACCTTACTCGACATCAGAAAATTCATGAAAGGGAGAAACTCTGTTGATGAAAGAATGGTAAACCTTTAACCTATGGCTCAAACCTTGTTCAACACTAGATGATACATCCTTCAGGGAGTGCTTACAAATGTAAAGATTTTGGGAAAGACTTCAGTAATTGCACAAACCTTGTTCAACAGAGTTAAACTGGAGAGAACTCTAGAATTTTAGAGTATGGCAAGACCTTCAATGGGAGTTCAATCCTTATTCAGCATGACACAGCTTAAATTGTAGAAACCGTTTATATGCTGTGAATTTGAAAAACTGCAAAAGTATGCAACTCTGAACCTAAAAATACTTTAATTGGAAAAACTTTTACAAACACAGAAATTAGCAAAGCTTGTTTGTGTGATTGTAATATATGTAAGGTGATTATTACTGGAGAGAAATACTACAAATACAGGGAATGTATTATAAACTAATTTGAAAAAAATTTCCTAAACATCATTAGTTGATATGGTAGATATGAACTTGTCACTCTCAGAGAACAAATGCAGGTAATACCTGGCTGAAGGGATATAAATTTAAGTGATTCCATGGTTTTTAAATAGTTTCACTTTTGAAAACTAGTTGAAGAACAACTTTCAAATAGATAATCGTATCAGCAGAATGTGACTGCTTCTTACAAGTTTTAAACTTTTTCCAAAGAATATACAGTGGGTTTTTAAAATATTTTCTTGAGTTTATTTATTTATTTATTTGTGGTGCTGGGAATTGAATCCAGAGTTTTTGCAATGAACTATATCGACAAACCGACTTTATTTTGAGGCAGAATTTCACTAAACTGCTATGTTGCCAAGGCTGAAATTTTGATACCTCTGCCTCAGCCCCGTAATGTAATGGAATAATAGCTCTAGGCTTATTCTTGTAAGTTATATTTTTATTTATTTCTCATACTTTGTAATTACTGGGAAACTGTAATGGTTAAAGGAGTATAGTAGTAGGCTCTAGATTTTTTAACCTGAATTACAGTTCATAAAACTTTATAATTGTTTTCCACATACCACTTTTTTAACCTACAAAGCATAGAGAACCTTTGGTATTCTTTTACATTTTCTGAGATGTACAAACATTACAATCTAATGATGAACTTTACATGTAAAAGAATTATAGTAATACTAATTGTTGGTGTGAATTTGTATGTTTCTTTTGTCTGTCAAGAAGGGAAATACTGATACAAAAGAATATTCCAAATAGTTGATATTTTACTACAAAACCAAACGTCATATATTATGAAAACTGTTGTTTACATTGAACTCATTTATTCAGAATGCTGTTTACTTTGAGCTTTGCTTATGAAAGACCTAGTATGGCTTACTTAATGAAATTTTGGGGTGTTTTTTAAATCCTTTTTAGAGGATTTTAAGAGTGATTTTTAATATCTAATGGTATTCAGAAATCAATTGAAAATCTAATTTCTCAATGAACCTATTAACTTTTATTTAATTGGCATAACTCCATTAATTCTGTCTCAAAGGGAATATTTTTAAGTTATTTTTAATGTACTCCTTTTAATTTAATAAGTGACTTACAACAATGAATTTACTGAGATAATTTGTTCTGGTAAAAACTGGAGAGGCTTCATAACTCATGGAGTTGTTTCAGCATCTGTGTGGAAAAAAGAACAGAGTAGAGCAGGACATATGAAGATTCTCCACAATTAAAAAATAATCATTGTTCAATAATAAATTTGGGGGGTTTTGGGTTTTTTTAATTTTGTTTTTGTGTCAGGGATCAAAGTCATAACCTCAGGCTTACCAGGCAAGTATTTGAGCTGCTGAGCTAAATCCCTGGCCCCCAATTTATTATTGTTATTGTGAATTTATTGAATTGTGAGAGAAATATCCAATGTGAATAAATGGCATTAATTCTATATGTGAAAAGAAGACACTACTCCAGGCTACATAAATGATGCCTTCTGAATTTAAGAACAGGAATTTTTTTTCATTGTTAGTCATATTCACAATGTCATTTATTCTGAATTCATGTATGCAGCCTTGGAATAGGTATCCTCACTCCACATGCAGAATTAATATTTGATGTAAATACCCTGATGCTTTTCCCCTGACACGAAGCAAGAATATGTGAGGACGTGCCGAGCTCTTTTATGCAATGGCTCCACTAAGTTGCATAGCATGTAACAGATAGCATGTAACAGCATAGCACGTAACAGATCTCCTTTTTACATCATCAGCAGTTTCCAGCTTTTGCCTTTTTGATAGTACCCACTGTTTATACTTAGATTGTCTGTAATTATGGTTTTGATGTACATTTTTCTAATGATTTATAATATTGGGCTGTTTTTCTTGTGTGAACATTTCTGTTTTCTTGTGAGAAATGCCTGTTTATATATTTAGACAATCTTTAAATTGGATTATTTTGTTTTTATTTTTTGTCACTGAATTTTTTTGTACTCTTTGATACTGCTAATAATAGCAATATTAGGATGAATGAATAATGTACTTAGAGTAAAGCTCACCATGTGTGTCCTCAAATTATATTTTATGTCTTCATATTTACTCTTTCACAACTGTTTTTGTTGCTGTCCATCAAGTATTTATTTTGAAAATCTGTTATTAGTGAGGCCTTTCTGGAATAGCCTAAAGTTTCAGTCTTAATCACAATTCTCATTATCCAGGTACATTACAAAGGTTGAGTTCATTCATTCCAAAAGCTTTTAGCAAACAGAGTCTGATACGCACAGTCTGAAAGGGACACATAAATGCAGCCATTCCCATTTTTGTAGCAGAAGTTGATGTTTTTGGCAGGATAGAGCACCTGAAAGTATGGGCATGTAAATACAACCTCAATATGAAATCCCTCTAAACTACATGTAGGCCCTTTCTTTATGCATCCAATTCATTGTTCTTTGGGCACATTTTTTAAAATGCTATGGAAAAAGAATTTGAAAGGTGAGCATTAATATCTAAGTACTAATAAGAATTAGGAAATTGTGTGCAACTTGAGTATTATATAGATTCGGGTTTCTCATCACAAAGGTGCATGCTCAGTAAATACTGCATTAGAAAATACATTTTTTACCTGTGCGGTTACTTAACCATCTAGAGTGTCCATACAAAGAATCTCCCTGGTTGGTGCCCATATGTGTTCACATGATTTACTGTTTCTTCAGAATAATGTGGGGATCTGGAGAGTCAAACATAATCACTTCATTTCTTGTTCAGGAAACAAAAGAGCCATGGTTCCTACCATCCACTGTACTTCATACTTCAAATGAATTAGTTGTTGACTTCAGCATCATGTGGTCGGTCAGTAAGAGGAATAAGATGTACATGTAAAACTATACATTTATGCTGACTTGTTTTTTAATATTATCAAATAGACAAAAAATTAAAATTGCATAGACTCTTGGAGAGTTTCTTTTATGCTTCCTTGAAAAAGATCTGTTACTCCAGTGTCATGAGGAACAGAAGCCTAGAGTTCACTCTGCTTAAACTGAGGTCTTTTCCAGTCTCATCCTACACTTTGGTGCCCGTCACGATCACATCAGCTCAGACTTTTGTCAGTGCTTCTCCCACTTCAAGTGGGTATTCGTAATTCTTACAAATCCAAAAGCAGACAAGTGGGGCAGCATTCTAAATATGCTGATGCCTTAATTTCTGTGTTCTAGACTCGTGCAGCTGCTCCATTTCTCCAGACCCAGTAGTTGCTCCAGAAATTTCAAAAATGTAAATATAACCTTAATACGAAGTCCCTCTAAACTATATATAGGCCCTTTCTTTATGCATCCAATTCATTGTTTTTTAGACAAGTTTTTTAAAATGCTATGGAAGAATTTGAAAGGTGAGCATTAATATCTAAGTACTAATAAGAATTAAGAAATTGTATACAACTTGAGTATTGTATAGATTCAGGTTTCTCATCACAAAGGTGCATGCTCAGTAAATACTGCATTAGAGAATACATTTTTTACCTGTGCAGAGTTACTCAGCCATGACTGCCATGTTTGACCATCTATGAATTTTAAAAGGCCAGCAAATGTCACATGTCAATATAGTGACCTATCTTTTTTAACATAGGATACTTGGTTATAAGTTGGACTGTGCTGACCTCTTTCTCTAGCTTAGTGCTACTGATAATGGATTTAGAGGATTTATAGGGAGCTTGTTTAAATGCCAGTTTCTGAGCATTCCTCAAACCCATAAAATCATAATTCTTAGACAACCTGGAATTCCAAGCGGTTTATATCTACAGTGAAGTCAAGAGATACTATTACTTCTAGCCCCAGCCCAGGTTTCCAATTTATATCGCATAACAGTTGTAAGAAATCCTGTCTTTAATCCCCACAGATTTTGTCTGTTGGTCTGAGGAGAAGCATGAATATTTTATTTACCTGCACCACTTTAATTGTTGAGCAACTAGAATTAAGTACAAGGTACTGCAGATACATTTAGGACAGCTGAGTTTAGCCTATTTCAAAGGCTTGTGACTAGCAGGGCTTGTGCATATGGTTTCGAAGGATGCATAACTAACCTGTGTTTAATTCTATAGCAGAAACCCGAAACCTAGAAAGGAGAAACTGACATTTTGGTCTCCAGATAGGAGCTCATTGTTCTTGATTCTCAACTATAAGAAAGCCAGAGAGGGCAATTTTTACTGTTGCAAGCTCATTGTTCCTCTGGATGTGTAAGTAGTGTGTAAAGAGGTTATGCTGATACCACTAAGTTCTCAAGATTAATGTTTGATTTATTGAAATAATCCTGTGTGCCTGAAGAAGCATAAAGAAGTCAGGTCCTGGGGCAGGTGGCTGGCCAGTCTCTTGAAGTGCTGTGTATGTAGACCATCATAACTATTATCGCTCTTTCTGATGTGCTTGCCTATTTGAGTTTGTTTCCCATATTTTATCTTTTCCTTTGTTACAATAGTCAAGATTTTTTGAAAATAATTTTTATCAGTATGCTAAAGTTTTCTCTTGATTCTATCCACTACAGCATCTTACTGCCATGAACAATTTTCACCACGAATTTATGAGCTACAAGTTAGAAAATGTTCTCTTTTGATAGTTAGCCATGGAATGTCTAGGTACCCTATAGCTATTGTTAACAGAAATAAGACTTTTGATCCCAGTGCAAAACAACACGCAGAGATTCCACCTGGATGCTCCATCTATTTTATGTAAAAGGTCTTTTAATAATGCACACGTGAAAGTATGAAGTTCAATACTTCCTAAAAAGCTAAGGAAATAACTATTTGAAAATGCTGAGATTTAGGGGCTGGGGATTTAGCTCAGCGGCATAAGCGCCTGCCTTGCAAGCAGGCAGTCGTGAGTTCCATCCCTGGTACCGATAAAAATGAAAAAGACAAAAAAAAAAGAAAAGAAAAGAAAATGCTGAAATTTATAGGACATGAAAGACATTATGCCTTAAACTTTATGTAATTTGTTTTAATGATTAGGTTCAGGTGCTGATGTACTGGTATTTATTTTATTGGAATGATTACATTTCCACCATATATATATATATCAATACCAGATAGCAATACTTTTGCAGCTGATTTTTAACTTGTTAATTTAGTTGTTCTGTGCCAGACTCCTCCTCTGTAAAAATAAATATTTTTCTGTTTATCATTTATTAAGTATCAATGTGGTTTACTGACTGAAGCGCATGTGTGTATACATTCAATATAGAATGTTCCCCTTTTGTAATTTCCTTTTGCTTGTCAATTGCTTTGAAAGGCAGACATTTGTTTAGTGCATATTAAGCAAATGGAGTTTTTGTAAATGGTGTTTATGAAACAGGTCCCTGTCCAGTAGGTTTCCATTTTATGTCTAATAACAGATGACCTTTATATTCTTTGTATATTAAGAAAAAAATACTTGTCCAAGTGTCTTAAAATTCTAAAACCTAATCGCATATAATAAATTAACCCATTTAAAAAGCAGACTCAGCAAAAATGCCCTTTTTTCTTTCATATGATTTTGTGTGTATATCTCTGGTGTTTATAAAGAATTAAAAACATTAGTGAATATGTTTTAATGGCTATATAATTAAAATTCCAAATTTCATTCACACAAAAATAATTTATTTTAATGCATATTTAACCAGTTTTATCTATATAATTATATATTTTGAAGTCTAATTTGTTTTTATCACAGTTCTCAATTGTGAGATGACTTTTTTTTATTAGCTTGCCTCCCTTCTTCCCTCCCTGTCTGTCTCTCCCTACCCCCTACCTCTTTTTCCCTGTGGAGATTGCCCAGTGCTAACTTAGGAAATTCTTAATCATAATGCTTCATTTCCTTCAATTACATAATTTTTCCTGGGAGCTCTTGCTTTGTATGAATGAGTATCATTCCTACTTTTTAAAAACGGGGTTTTAGAGGTATCATAGGGCTCTAGGTATCGTAGGGCTGGGGATTTAGCTCAGTGGCATAAGCACCTGCCTTGCAAGCAGGCAGCTAGGAGTTCGATCCCTGGTACTGATTAAAAAAAAAAAGTAGGTATAATGTCCATCTATAATCCAAGAACTCTGCGAGGCTGAGACAGGAAGATCTAAATTTGCAAAATCATAGTGCTCCATAAATATTCTAAAAATTTTGTCATGAAGCAGTTGTTTTTGTTTTGGTACTGGGGATCAAACTCAAAACCTCACGCTTGCCAGCATATGCTTGCACCACTGTGCTATATCCCCAACCCAGCAGTATTTTTAAGATATGATTTCCTGGAGTTTGGGTAATGTTCTCTCATTTCTGCTTCATACAGTATGAAGTTGGAAATTGAGAAATCCCCAGCAAGGGTGATGTGGCTTTCTAGTATAACATGTCTTTTCTCGAAGTCAGACCTGGTCATGATTTTGTTGTAAGTTACACAGCTTTGCAGATAATAGAACACAATAGTCATACACCCAACAAATTTGATAGCAGATGAAGTAAATGGCACATGTACAGGTTAATATCAATAAGGAACCTGGTTCTTCAAGTAGGAATTGGAAAATTCAAGGGAAACATTTTCTGAAAAAGCTAGGTTTTCTTTTGTTATTGTTTTTCCAGGATACTGTTTGTTTAGAACTCTTAAAATTATTTGAAGGACCAGGGATTTAGCTTAGTGGCATAAGCATCTGCCTGGAAAGCATGAGGTCATGAGTTTGATCCCCAGTACAAAACAAGAAACAAAACCAAAAGGAAGATGGCAAATCAGTAAGTAGCAGAGTAAACAGCTCTCTGAGAGAAACAGTCCAGATGCAGGAATATAGTATTGTGGGGAAAACAAGAAGGAAAGAAGTGGGTCCCCCCGACCCAGGAAGAACCTAAAGTGAGAATCGAAACCCACAGAATTAAAAAAAAAAAAAAAAAAAAAGCAACTTCCAACAGAAGAAGACCATAGCTGGCAATGCTTTCACCCTGAGCTGGACCCACTGTGCAAAAAGAGCTGTGGAAACCTGGGGAGACAAGGTCACAATGAAGGTGTGGCTGGCAAGCCCAAAGGCCTCTGCAAAGAGAGGTGGTGGCAGAGGGGAGCAGCGGACTGGAGAACTGCACTGGCTGGCGGTGAGTATAGGGGACTCAGTCCTCCTGCAAGAGAGGGCAGTTGGCTGGGAGCCATTTTGGAGTGGGGCAGGCTAAGCCCAGAACCAGAATTGCAACCAGCTTTCTTCAGCAACTCCTGGCTAGGAGCAAACTGGTGGAAATTGCTTGGACTAAGTTCTGCCCCTATGCCCATTCAAATAGCCATTGCAGAGGTTTCCCTAAAGCTATCCCCAACCAGCTTCATTCCGGGGCTCCCTGCTGTTAACCAGTTTGGGAGGGAGGTGGCAGCCTGCCCTGCCCCAGCTTGCACTCCACCAGCCACCAGTGAGCCAAAGCAGGTTGGGAAAAGCAGCAAACAGCCCTACACCAGCATACCCAGTGATCACCATCAGATATCCCTAGGCAGCACTGGCTAGAAAAAGCAAGCAGTCTTGCTTCAGAGAAATTGTAGCCAACACAGGAAGTGCCAGGGACCCCACTATCCACTTGTCTGGAAGAAACCAAGAACACGTCAAGGAAGAAGCAAAAGGTAGGCTACAGCCTCAACCCAAGCAATTCTGGTTCAGAAGATGTAAATACAGAAGAGATTGGGAGTCGCACATCTGAAGTTTCTCAAGCAACAGCAACTAAAAGAAACCACTTCATGAGGCTATAAAAGAAATTAGAAGTACTATCAGGTAAGAGAAGAAATGAGAAACAATAAAAGAATTGCTAAGCACCTCTAAAGGAGACACAGATGGAAGAATAGAGGAGCATTGGGAAATGAGGGGGACCTTGAAAGAAGAATATAAAAATGACAATACATGAAACATTCAAAGATATTAATAGGAAGTTAAAAACTACATTGAAAGCTGCCAAAACTGCTTGAAAGATAGACTTTCAAGACCTTGAAGACAGGTTTGCAGCTTGTGATCATGAAAGGAAAGATCTCTTAAAAATAACAAGGAACCAAGAAATAACAATTCAAAGGCTACAAGATGACACGAAGTATAATTTAAGAATAATAAATGTGAGTGAAAAAGCAGGGGTAAAAATACATGAAATACAAAGGCTATTTACAAAAACAAAACTTCTCAAGCATGGGAAAAGGAAATGATATTCAGATAAGTGAGTCATACAGAACCCCAGCCAGCTATAACCAAAATAGAGCTACACTCAGATATATAATAATAAAGATCCCAGAAATTCAACACAAGAACAGAATATTAAAAGCTGTCGAAGAAAAGAAATCATCTATAAAGGAAAACAGAATCATGACAGACTTCTGAACACAAACCATCAAATCAAGAAGAACTTGGAGTGAAGTATTCCAAGTCCTGAAAGACTTGGAAGTAACCTCTAACCCAGATTGATGTACCCTGAAAAACTCTCTCTCAAAATTATGGAGAAATAAGATACTTCCATGACAAAGACCAAATGAAGGAATTCATGACCACCAAACCAACCCTACAAAAAATACTGAAGGACATTCTAGAGAGAGAGATAAAAGACCATGGTTTCAGAAACAGTGACAGAGGGGGATCACTGAGCAGGGCAGACAGAAGGGGAAAAGTAGGCAACCAATGGCAGAGATAAGGTAGAGAAGTTTGGCCATAACCACTAATATAAATGGCCTCAATTCACCAATAAAAAGAAATTTGAGCAGAATGGATCAGGAGGCAGGGTTCATCAATATAGTTAAACAAGAAATACATTTAACCCAAAAAGGAGTTTGTAGACAAAGTCAAAAATGAGAAAACAGTGTTCTATGTGACAAGGTGGTTACAAGCCACCTTGACACACAATGGAAAACTACTTGGCTATAAAGAAAGATAACCTTGAGGCTCTGGTAATGGATACAACTTGAGGTCATGCTCAGGGGTAAAAAGGTTCAAAGTCACCTAGGTGAATAGTGTGTTGCCTCCTTAGTATAAAAAAGGAGTTAATGGGAGCCAAAATGTACAATACATCCTGTGAAAGTGAAAGGGGAGGAATTGTCTAAAAAAGGAAGGCACTGGCCACTGTTAATCTATTGTCATGATTTGAAACCCATATTGTTTTCATTGTTCAGTTTAGTTTGGTTTTATTCTGTTTTAGTTTGTCTAATATTAGATTTGATGGCATGGACAACTATTCCAAAGATAGCAGGATATATTATGGTAACCATTTTTGATTACCTATTAGCTTGATTTGAAGCCTTGTATTGCTTTCATTGTTTTGTTTTGACTGATTTTATTCTATTGTATTTTGTTTGGTAGTATCGTGTCTTGATGGAATAGGCAACTACTTTGAAGACAATAAGATGCATTACAATACCCATTGTGGTTTTACTATTATCTTCTTTTGAAGTCCTATAATGTCTCCATTGTTTTGTTTGATTTTATTGTGCCTGATGATGTGGGCAATTCTTTTGACAATAACAAGAGGCAATATGGTAGCCATTATTGATCACCTTGTATTTTGTTTTAAGTACCATGTTCATCCTTTTGTTTTGATTGACTCTATTCTGTTTTGTCTCATTTGGTTTTATCTTTTCAAAATAAAAAAATTATTTGATTCTCCTCTACAAATTCACAGTGATGGCCATATCTTTGCCTGTGAGAGCTTGCATAATCTGAATGCTTTTGCATTGATTTTCAGGGCCAAAACCTCTGCATTTTTGATGGGGTATTCTTGATGAAGCCATCTTTATGACATAGAAAGCCTCACATCAGAGCAGTCTGAGGGAAGTGGTGGGCTTAAGAAAATCAGAGGCTACTATGGTAGAACAAAATGTTGGGGTGACAAAATAAATCACTATGCAATACACTTTTACCTTTTGTAGCATGGCACATGCTCTAATATTTTTCTCATTTTGTTTATTTTCTTAGTGTTTTGTGGTATTTGAGGTTGAACCCAGGGATGTGCTCTTCTGATGAGGTACATCCCCAGTCCTTTATTGCCTATTTTGAGAAGGGGTACCACTATGTTGACCACACTGGTTTTGAACTTGTGACCCTCCTGCCTTAGCTTCCCAGAGTGCTGGAGCTATGGACATGTACCACCATGCCCATCTGATTTTGTTCTTTTTAATACCTATCATGAAACTAAATAAACCACACAAGCAGAATGTTTACTCAAAAGTAGGTAAATGTCACAAGAGGAAGGGACAAACACTAGCTTCTCTTGCTCATAGTAAGCACTAATATTAGAGGTCACAGAGCTAGATAATACATTATTTTTCCCCTAGCTCTCCTATAGATAGCACCTCTGAACTATGCTTTATTATAATAGTTTCTTGGGTTACATTTAAGAAACATAAAGCCTATTTTTGCTAAAAATACCAACTCCTCACTTTAACCTACAGACATGTGGTGTGACTCAGATGCAATAGATGCCTATAAATCTGTTTTCATTTTTGTCTATCCCCTTTGCTTTCTAAACTCGTACCGAATTT